TGATGCTCGGAGGTAAAAATAATAAAAAAAAAAAATATAAAAAAGTAAAAATGTAAAAATAATATAAGATCTTAATTTTTAGTCAAAATCTGCAACCTAATTAAGAAAATACTTTTTCGTATGCAGAAAGATTTAAAATGCTATTTTTTGTTCGATTGTTTTTAAAGTATTAAAACATATAATATTAATTTAATTATTCAAACATACAGAGCACCTTAGTAATCAATATCATACTTTAGAAAACATATTATAAGAATACATTTAATACAAATATTTAAAAAAAACATAAGGACTTGCAAAAGAACCATCCACTTGAAGAAAAATAAATTTATAGCAATAATTTTTGAGTTAAAGCCACTTGCAATAGCGAATGTGTAAAATATTGAGTACAGTGATCTGCGGTGGCACGTGTTCGATAATCGAGAGAGGACTGATAAGTAGCAATTTTTTTTTCTTTTAAGAGCGTTTGCTGTCCGATGAAATAGACAGGGATAAGCAACAAATGCTCATTGAGTTAAGATAAGGCATAAAGTCTCTAGTGAGAGGAGATTCGTGACACGATCCCGAAAAGCCATGTGCGCCTCGTTTAGGCACTTGGCTCTCGATGCGTTTGCGTGCATCGAGCACGTGCTTGTATATACATTCGTGGACGTCAATCCCTTCCGCAGGATGAAATCCAAAACGATGTGTGCCCTATCGCCGCCTTATCTACCCATGTTGAGTAACTCGAAACATAATCGCGATAATGGCGACTTGTGTGTTGCATTATGACCGCGCGCTTCGCGTTTATTCTATTATGAATAGATATCGTGTCACCCTGTGGCATCTGTCGTGTTTATAAACGCACACGAACCGCACATACACTTTTCCTCTACATCGCTCATTCTTGTTCCCATTATCATCTCCCCAAAAAACTCGTGTCGAATTACTTCATCGTCCATATATATGAATTCGGCCTGCTTCCGTTGTAATTACTGTGTTCATTCCGTCTCATGCAAATACTCTGAATAAAATAATTCACACGCTTTATCGTTTATTAAAAATTTACATCATCAGGGTTGCCACAAAAATTAAATTTTGTTTTTCCCTGATTTCCAGACAAAATGTTTACTTTTTCTCTGACCCTAAAGAATATTTTGATTTACTGTAAAAATGATTAGATGCTCAAAAAAATGTTCAATTATTTATAAGAATATTTATTATAATAAATTATAAAAATATCGATCACTCCGAGTCGAAGACTCGGAGTGATCACTTTCTTCATGTTTTATAATAATTAAAGGTTTTTATATTTTTTTATATTATAATATAAGAATATTTTTACTGTCACTTCTTGAAAATTATTTTCATCATTTAAATTGAATTATTATTTTCTACAATTTTTTACTAAAATTCTTTTTTAAATCAATTATTTTTAATAATTTTTTATATTCTTTTACACGGAGAAAAATTATTTTTAATGATTACAATAGTCTACATTACTGCGCGGATATGTGACCACTTTTTGGAATGATTACGAAGACTATGTAATGTGTTAAGAATTTAGTAGGAACGATTACTATAGCTGTTGTAAGGGATACCTTCATGTTTGTACTCCTTACAACAGCTATAGTAATCATAACAAAAAGTGGTCACATATCCGAGCAGTAATATAGACTATTGTAATCAGTACGAGTAAATTTTTCTCCGTGTAAGAATTTTCAAATTCACTTGTTTACAATTCAATTTTACGAAATTTCGATTATCTAGAAATTCTTCAATTAAATTTTGGTGAATAAGAACTTGAAATAATTTTTAAAAATGTCGAGTAAGCTTTTGAAAAAATTAATTCCATAGAATTTTTAATCAAAAGTTTGAAAAATTCAAATTTTCAAAGATTTTAATTTGAAACCTTTACGAAATTCAAATTTTTCTAAAAATTGCAATTATTAGTAACTTCTTCAAAATTCAATTACATACTACCTAAAACTTTAACTGAAATTAATTTTTAAATTAATTTTTATTAGAAAATTCTACGAGAATTCAATATTATTTTAATACAAATATAGATAATTATTAAGTAATTGAATGTTTCTTAAAATTGAATTCTTATAGGGTCAGTTGGGGTAAATATAGAAATAAGGGGTAAATCGAAGCAGTAGTATATATATTATATATATTATATATATTTTATTACTTTTGAAAATAATTGAATTTCTGCGAAGAACGTTAGGAAGCGTTCACAAATGATGTCACGCAATTTTTTGGGATTTTAAACCCCCTCCCCCCTGTCACGCAATTTATTAATTTTGAAAATAATTGAATGTTACAATGAATTTTGTAAAAATTCCTGAATATAATTGAATTTCTCTGATTAATTAGCGCATATACGCTGTTTGAAAATAGTGGCATAATTATCGCTGAGAATCAGTGAAATTTCACTGATTCAGATTTAGAGAGTACTTTCCCTGACTTTTCCCTGATCTGTATCAACCCTGATCATAGTTGAGTTGATCTTTGAGAGATTTGTTTTGTTTTCATCCAAAGATTTACGAGCATAAACTTTGTTTTAGACTTTAAGGTCACAGAAAGTCACATAGTTTTTCTGAGGATTTTAAATTGAGACAGATGTTATATGGCAGAAGGAAACTAAAACATATTTAAATTGTCCGGCATCGATGATTCATACCTGATCTCAAGCGACAGGTTTTAATAAGGAGGAACTGTTAAAATTGAAATTAAATTATTAATAGTTTTTTTTAAAGCGAGCGTTCACAAATGATGTCAAGTTGTTTGGGGGAGAGGGGGGGGGGGGCTATACTGAACGTGACACAATGTATTTTTACATGTGAAATTGCATGACAGGGGAGGGTCTAAAATCCCGAAAAATTGCGTGACATCATTTGTGAACGCTCCCAAATCCTTTACAATTAGAATGAGAAAGAAAGAGTAGATCCAAATGACTTCAGGCACATTGAAACAAAATTAGAACTTTATGGAATCAAAGAGAATTTAATGGGGACAATTAAATTTAAAGTATTAGTAATTTACCTTTTAAAGTTATTGTTAGAGTCGTAGACTCAGCAAGCGATACCTCCTTCAGTGTGGGATTGAGAAAAACACCTTGACTAGCGAAAACAGAGAATGTAGTAGATTTCACTCAAATTGCTTTCGGGCCAGCCAAAGTAAAGGTCCAGAGTCCAGCTGTAGATGCAAATTAGATTGAATACCCCTCAGTCTTGGAGTGACCCAATTATTTATTTGACGTTGATATCAAGGTAATGCAATCCTTAGAAAAACAGAAATGTGCTTCGTATTAGAGAAATTATCTCCTTTTGAATGAATTTGACTAAGACAAGAGTCGAAGAAGGCATTGGTACTTGAAAAGGTTTTCTGGACTGGAGTCGAAGAAGAAACTTGATTACAGTACACAACTAGTTAACTTGGTGGCGGTTGCTGAACTGACACGAAGAACACAGGTATCTGATTAGACGGTGATTTCTGGACTAGTTAACTTTAAAGCGTTCAGTGACAGTTTGACGGACTCTGACGAAATCTAACATAATTGTAGTTTTGGTGATACAGAGTATGACAAGATATGATCCAGATTTTTACGTTATTTTATGAGTGAAAAACCCCTCGCGAATTGGGCAAGGATGGCACCTTTTATAGATTCCTTTTGCAAGAAGATACCACGTCATACCACCCACTTTTAATACTTTCTGGGTCAGTTTTTTCTAATGGTTTTTTTTGTACATATGTGCTTCGTTCCTGTATTACGTATAGGTTAGTGACCCTATAGGATGGTGACAAAACGTTGATGACCATATTTAGTATCTGTTGTCTAGGTGTAAGACTATTGGATCAATGTTACTTCGGTTACAAGAAAAGGAGGATTCAGATTTTAACTTTACAAAATATAATTTTATAAATGTAAAATATAAATACGTCGCCATGAGATGACACAGAAAAAGTATCAGAAGTGTTGCGAAACAACGTTTTGATTCGTTTTCTGTCTCAATTTGATATCCTCAGAAAAACTGTAATTGTAAGGTGTTATTTTAACACCAAAATGGATTAAATTAACACCAAAATATGTATTAAAGCGTTGCAGATCTGCAACATCATTTCTGATTATAACAATCGGTACATTTGTCCAGATATATTAAAAGTGTAAAATAATTCCAAAAGATTTTTCAGAGAACTATGTATATATACAAAGGTTCGGATGTAATCATTTTCTTGAATCTTTGATATCATAGTGAAATGAAATGGAAGATGTTTCTTATTTGAGTTCGCGGTTGAAATTGGAGAGTTGGAAAGAAAAGAAGAGTACAATATCTTATTCTGTTTCCTTTGAAAACCTGTTCCTTCCTGCCACCGCTCGTAACCTGACATCATGACACGGCATGAATGCCGTTTACGATCTGGACGTTGGTCATTTTTTCTCTCATCGCGATTCGATCTTAATCGCTACCTAGTTGAATCGATCTCTCACTGGCACAATGCTACAAATAAGCAATAGCAACAATAGTGGGTCATTGTTTGCTCTTATTTGCGAAAATTTACTCCACAATGCCGTGAGAAAGCTTTGGAATTACGTAAATCCAACTAATGCTCAGATTACTTTATATATGTCAAAGATGTTCATGTAGAGTAGGACGTTCAAGTGCGCAACGTTTATCCTGAAGGAATAAAATTTTGTTTAATAGCTCGAATAATGCGACTCAACTATATTCTGAAGTGCTTTTTTTCCTGAGTGAATTTCCATTCACTATAGAGTGTATAGTAACTTTTTTCGCACTGTTTGAATTTGAAATCATTGAGAAACTTTTTTAATTTTTCCAGAAGAAAAAACTTTTTGTCGAAGGTAATTTTAAAGAATAATTGATGATAATTGACTTTCAAATATGCTATGTTTGAACGTTTATACTCGATCCAAATGTTGAATAACATTTGAAAATATTTTACTTCTAATTTGATTCTTGGTTGTAAAAAGTGTAATTTCTATTTTCTTACAGATTGAATCTTGATGCCCCGAAGGAATCGTTTGATGACAACTCCAGAATAGCAGTATAATTGAAGTTAGTATTACATAGATCATCTTTAATTATTATAAAAACATGAAGAAGTAGATCGACCTACTCATGTTTGATAATAATATATTCTTATAAGTTGTTGAATTTCAAAAAGGTTTGGATTCAATATTCAAAATGGAGTTACTACTCCCCACCTGTGAACGTCAAGGTCACCGCTAGATGGCAGTTTGGTTGATAAAATCAGATTTCTCGCCACCTAGTGGCGATCTTGACGTTCTCAAGTGGAGAAATTCAACCAGCATTTTATCTCTCAAAATCTTTTTTATTAAAAAATGTTATTGTGAGTTCGAGGCCTAAAGTTATTAATAATTATTTTTAAAAAATACCTAAGCATTTCGTATGGAGAATAATATATACAGTATTACATATAGCAAATATTTGCTTCCCCCTCGAAAATAAGTAATTTTTTTGCGATTACGAATAAATGAAGGAGAACGTCCCCTCTGAATTTATTGGCGCGGTTTATGTTCTTTGAGAAGTTGATGGCCGACAATTGGGCTTCTAGAGACACGACGCTTTTTATAAAACACGGTCTCAAGATGTGAACATTTGATACTTGTTTTGATAACATTTTCTTTATAATGTAGACAAGAGCTTTGAACCCGGATGCAATCGTGCGGGACTTGAATTCAATATTAAAACGATCGGATTGATAGATAAGGGTTGAAATTGCAGGTATAATGCGATCTAACATAATGGTAACACAATAAGCCACTGAAGCTGTATATATGCCTCGAGAAAGCATAATACACTGCTCCTTTTAAGTTACAGTCCCTCCCGCAGATTTCACAAACTAGTTTGCATACATGTATGAATCCATTATTCCTAAAATAATATTTATGGGAATTTTAATTCACGCGTACTGCGAAAAAGAAAGTGACGAATTAGAGACGACTATATCCTTGAAATATGAATATATTCTTAAAGTTCACAATTTTTCTAATATAAGGATATCAGAATGAGACATAAAAAACTATAAAATCATTGCTTCGTTGGAATTTTGATTCACTTTTTGTCTCAATTTGATATATCCTTACAATTAGAAAAACCGCATCACTAAATTAAAGATCACCAATATTCTTTTGCTGCTTTTTTAAAAATTGAACTCGTTAATTCAAGTATGACGACTGATTTGTACAAGACAAAATGAATATATCTTGAAAGCGATAATGTGTCTCCGAAGTAACGTCTTAATAGCATTTTACAGCGTAATTTATTAAAATATATACACATATACAAGCATGAGCGTGTCCCCATAAAATTTTCTGTCTTTTTCTTCTTTGATCCTCTCTTTTCCCTCCTTCGTATCTCCATCTCACTTGTACTCTTTTGCCGATCTCGTTGGAACGATAATGCTTCTCATAAGTCAAAGTGATGTATGTCTTTTCGCGCTCCCATAAGGCCCTCTTATGGGGTCCGCTATTCTTCAAGCGTCCAACTACGTATTTTGGAGATTTAATGGCTCTCACTATGGCGCTTTCGGTTGTAATTATGCGCGTAAATTCAAGAAGGTGTAGAAAAGCTCTCGTATGAAATTTATTATTCGATGCATAACAATTAGTTTCTTCATTTTGGATACATTTCGAAAAATTTTAGCGACCTTAAATCCCTCTAAGTGAACAATTCACAAAGTTATATAGAGATTTAAATAGTTAGAACTAGAAGTGACAAAAACCTAATTTTGTCCTAATAAAATTGTCAACCTGATAAAAATCAGAGTCTAAATTACATGACCACACACCAAATCTAGATTAAACTCAGTTCCTCTATAGGAGCAGAGGCTTTGTCTTCTCGCCTTGCTAAAAATTTTAAGAATTGCTTATGACAATTGTCAATTGTATCCCAATACTTTTGAAAAAATGGTGACCAAATAACAGGTGTATATAAAAATGTTGATGCAACAAATGCTTGAAAGAGAACCGTTACAATTTATATCCTTTTAAATTGTTTGCAAGATCTAAATAAATAGCCAAGAGTTTTACTAGCAGTTAACCATATATCTGAGACATGTTCAGATCACATACATATATAGATAGTTTTTTTATTACATTGTTTAGATAGTTTTAATTTTTTATAAATTATTATCTGAACTCTAGTATAAACTCTTATAAATCAATAACAATATATTTATCATCATTTTTCGTTGATAACTTAGCACGATAAAATGCATCATCATCATTAACATCAATTCTGCCCTACAACAGAAGAACATACGAAAGTGACATTGCCGCATGGGTCGAAATTCCTATGGTATGAAACATACAAAAATCAACCTATAAGCCACAATGTCACTAACGTATCTTCTTCCGTTTAAAGGCAAAATTAAAATGAGCCAAAATGAGTATTAAGGGGTTAAGCCACTTTAGAAGCCGAGAAAATAGGTGTTTTTTGTGAATTTTTTTCAAAGCATTTATAAAGTCAATTAACTATGGCTAACAATTCGGGTCTTATGTATGGAAATACTCTTCTGTAGAATTTAGTTGGCTTACACTGTAAAAAATTTAGGGAGTTAACGGACTCGGGAGTTGGGAGTTAAATTTTTCGAGTTAAAAATCAACTCCAAAAGAGAGTTATGTTTATGCATTTTCTTTATAAGGAGAGTTTTAAGATTATTTTGCCAGGTGAAAATGAGTTTATTGCATTCTATTTGTAGTTCTGTAGTACTAAGTGAGTTCTGATTATTCCACAAGAAACATCAGAGGAGAAATACGCAAATTTTTTACACTGTAATTAAAGCAAAAAAATGAATTTTTGAAAATCCTGAACTATGGCATAACCCCTTAAGATGCATATAAATGTGTATTTTTGTTTTGAGATATACTGTGACTCTTATGCTTTCGATTTTACGGGTTCATTAATTTGTAGAGAGGTGAGATGACGTTTTAATAAGTGTGAGCATGTGTGAATTAGCGGAGTCTATGACAATAAGAGCCTAACTAGATTTAGAGCAGGGGAGAGAAAGGGGTTGATACAGTTTTGTCCTTTTTATAGTTTGGTAGCTCTGTTGCTTCAGTTTAAAAGAGCGATATGCGACGGTAGATGAGGGCACACATATATATGTATAAAGTGCATCGTAAATCATACGTTAACACACTGTTTAGGCGGGGCGGTTTTACGGTGGCTTTCAGTCTATGCACGGTTTATGCACTAAATAATTCCACCATTTGCATTAGGGTGTACGAATTCCCTTCCTTTTTCTCTATATGTAAAACAACAAATTGATGTCTTTATAGAAGTATACGCACGTTTAAAATGCAGCTTGCACTATTTCATTATTCTTTCATAAATTTATTTTTATTTATTATTCTTATGTTGGTGCTTTTTTTGTTTTCTTGTATGGACTTTTAAAACACATGCATCGAGAGTAAATTACCTTAAAAATAAAAAAAAAATGAAACGAAATAGCTAGTTCGTTAAAAAATTAGAACTTGTCCGAGTATCTTTTTATGGTTTGTTAGGTGATTATGGTATTTTGGCAAGATGAGATGCGATGGTTTGCAGATTATATGACGATGGGACAGCGCGATATCATTAACACCTCGAGATTTCAACATAGCATTCGTCTTGCTTTTGAGGGGCCGCTATAATTTGGTATTTTAAGCGAAGCAGCACGCGAAGCGACACATTATTTATGGCTTGTTTTTAAATATTAAATGATACAAAGGTGCCGCTACTATATCCGAGTTTTGCTCCACACTCGACTCTTTGCAATTCACTCCCAGGAACAGGATCGTTTCTCAAAAGTCAAAGACTCTTTCGTTCATTTTTCATTTGAATGTTCATTTATACATTGATATTTGTTATCCTTTATTTACATTCAGTAAAATTACAAATATGTACACGTATACGTGTATATCTTGATTTTTTTTAATATTCTCATTTTTACTGGTAATTTTTTTTTGTGTTAAATAATATGAAAAAGAAGAAAAGTTTATTTTCCGCATTTTATTATAAAATCTATTAAAGTCATGAATCCGTAATAGCGTATACTCGGAATCCACTTTTTATATATAAAAATGTTTGGTATGAAATATTAAAAGATTCCAATCGATCAATGGCGATTTAATATTATATATGAAACTGATTTTCTCCTGTAAGTCTTGAAATTTATTTACATTAAAAATATTGATGAAATTTTGGGAAAAAAATATTTTTATTTATTTCCCAAGAATATTTACTCTGCGAAAAAATTTATTCTGAAATTATACTCAACAGTTATTTTTGAATTTTATTTATACTTAAATTTACAGTTTAAATATATTATTATTATTTTTATTTATAATAAGCGTTGTTTCTTCATTCATTCTGTGCACACAATTATTATTAAATTTTAATTAAAAGTTTTTTAAAACCTCATTTTTTAAGAATTTCTAAATTAAATTATTCAATGCTTAAGTAATTTTGTTGAATTATTTTTAATACTTATTTACTATTTCTACAAAAACTATAAAATTCTTAAAAATTACAATTTCAAAACTTCTGAAATTTTGTACCAAAAAATTAGTTTTTTAATGCAATATGTGGATAAGAAAAGTCGAGGAATTTTATTAAAAGTTCAGGAAAAATATTAAATTTACAGAATTCATAAGAAAATTCTGGCTTATGGTGTCCAGTATCGTTTGAAAATATTAACAAGATTTAATTCTTCTTAAAAGTTTGTTTGTTTCCCTATAAACTTGAAAATGACCTCTAATTGTAATACAAAATCATAAAAACTTTTTTTGTTTTTAACAATAGTCGAACTTTACAGAATGTGAAATTAAATTTTATTTAAACAATTTAAAATTGAGAATTCAAAAAATTAAAATTTTTATTAAATTTAATTAAAAATTCTGAAGAAGTTAGTTTTTTAAAAAAATTGTATTGAAATTGTTTTCAAATTGTTGGAATTTTTGAATATTTAATTCAACATTTTTCAAATTATTGAAATTTATTAAAATGACATTTTAAACAAATTGATTTCAGAATTATTTTAGGCAAACTTT